GTCACCAACATAAATGGATAAAATCTGGTTGATGAGGACACAGACAGCAATTAAAACCCAACAGAGGTTCTAACCCCTAAGCACTCTGTCAAAAGTGAAATAAAAAATTGTCTTACACTTTAAGTTATGTCCTTATTGACAACTAATGTTCTATTGGCTATTGTAGTTTATGTTATATTCTACATCAATAAACAAAACATAAATAAAGCACACTGAGGCCCCAGCAACACTTGGAGCAAGTGTGAATGTGCGCAAAATTGTGTGACTTTGTGCGTGTTCATGAAATGTGTGAAAAGCACATGATGCTCTTGCAGTGCCATTATTGTTAATAGCACCCCAAACACAGAAAGCAAGATGCATGTTCTTGAGTGTGCAAAAAAACATGGTCAAATAACACACAAAGCACCCAGCTCAAACAGCTGCATGCACTTATTTGCCACATTTGTCACATATAGGGTAGCCCACTGAAATGAACGGGCTACCCTATGCAGACACGTGACAAACATGGAAGAACACGCAAAAACCAGTTAAACCCAAGTGTTGATGAAGCAAACACTACCTTACCTATATATACCTTCATTTCAATGGGCTGCCCTATGCGCAACAAACGTGCAAAAACACTGTTAAACCCAAGTGTAGATGGTGCAAAAACTACCTTACCTATTCCTACCTTCATTTCAATGGGCTGCCCTACGCGGCAAATAAAACTCATGCAGCTGTTTAAGCTGGGAGCTTCAAATTTTTATATAGATTTTTATGATCTTTCCGAAGCATTTCACAAAAAGAAGGACTTAAAGAAAAAATATAAAACAAGAATTAAAGAAAATAAAAACTGCACTAACACATTGGGGGAGGGACAAAGACTTGCATGCTGAAAAATGCACCAATTTCTATATGCCATCTTATTTAGTGCTTTCTGCAACAAATTAATAAATGTGGCGCACAGCCATGCTCCCGACAGACTCAAGCTCCCTTATTCTGGCGTGCACCGATATTTTGGCGCAAATCTAATGTAATCTGCTACAGGGATCACGTTCTCCTCTCCTTTTCCTCTCCGTGCTGATCGTTGCTTTCACCCTCCTCACTACAGTATTTACTCTAGACATGTAAGCCGGCAAAGAATCTACTTTGTTTTGTATTTTTCATTATTTCGGAATTCAGGATTCGGGTCCGAAAGTCAATTCGTTTCTGTATTTGGACTAATCCGAAATTTCGCTAATTTCGTATGCGTAAGACAATTATGAACAAATTTTCATTACAGCGAAGTGACATTAGAAAAACAAAAAGTGAAATTTTTCTTTTTAACTTTTGACAGTACACAGAAACAAACATAAAAAAGTGTGCCCCCCCCCCCCCCCAATTCATACCAGACCCTTTAAGTCTGGTAGGAATTTTAGGGGGGACCCTTATGGCAAAATTTGCTGTCGTCCCCCTAAAATGACTTACCAAACTCTTGATCCGAGCAGCAGCCTGACAGAGAAACAGGAAAGAGAGGGGGTGGGGGGGGAAGGGGCGAGGGTGCGCCCCCCC